ACAGGAAAGAATGTACGAGACGTCAAAATAAGAGCAGGTGCTAATTGATGTGTGTAATATTCCTTTGTTCTCTTCCTAGGTTTCCTTTCCCCCCGCTCCTCCCTGTTGAAAGAAGACAATGGAGAAGGCAGTCAAAATTCTGGAGGGCCATGTCCAATGGGAATAACAAAGAAACCATATAAATTCATGGAATGTGAAAAGAGAGAGGAGAAACAATTTGAAAGTATGGAGTGTGGGACGAGTTTCACTGACAGTGGAACACTTGGAAAACATCAACGGACTCACACAGGAGAGAAACCATTTAAATGCATGGAGTGTGGAAAAAGCTTTGGTTGGAGTTCAAACCTTCGTATACATAAACACACTCACACGGGGGAGAAACCATATAAATGTAAGGAGTGTGGAAAGAGCTTCAGTCAGATTGGACACCTTAAAAACCATCAACGAACCCACACAGGGGAAAAACCATATAAATGTATGGAGTGTGGAAAGAGCTTCACCGATAGTGGAACATTTAGAAAACATCAACGGACTCACACAGGAGAGAAACTATTTGAATGTATGGAATGTGGAAAGAGCTTTATTGATGGTACAGCACTTAGAATCCATCAACGGATTCACACAGGGGAGAAACCATTTAAATGTTTGGAGTGTGGAAAGAGTTTCAGTACGAATAGAAGACTGAATATTCATCATAAAACTCACACGGGGGAAAACCTATTTAAATGTATGCTGTGTGATAAGAGCTTCACTGAGAGTAGAAAACTTAGAATCCATCATCGAACTCACACAGGGGAAAAACCATATAAATGTATAGATTGTGGAAAGAGATTCCGTCACAGTGAAACACTGAGAAAACATCAATGGACTCACACAGGGGAAAAACCATATAAATGTATGGATTGTGGAAAGAGCTTCGCCGATAGTGGAACATTTAGAAAACATCAACGGACTCACACAGGGGAGAAACCATTTAAATGCATGGAATGTGGAGAGAGCTTTATTGATGGTACAGCACTTAGTATCCATCATCAAACTCACACAGGGGAAAAACCATTTGAATGTATGGAGTGTGGAAAAAGCTTCACTTGTAGTGGAACACTTAGAATCCATCAACGGACTCACACAGGGGAGAAACCATTTGAATGTAAGGAGTGTGGAAAGGGCTTCACTTCTAGTGGAGCAGTAAGAAGACATCAATGGACTCACTCAGGGGAAAAACCATTAAAATGCATGGAATGTGGAAAGAGTTTTATTGAGAGAAGAGACCTGAGAACCCATCATCGAACTCACACTGGGGAGAAACCATTTAAATGCACCGAGTGCGGAAAGAGCTTCAATCGCAGTGGAACACTTAGAAAACATCAACGGACTCACACAGTGGAGAAACCATTTAAATGCATGGAATGTGGAAAGAGCTTTATTGATGGTACAGCACTTAGTATCCATCATCAAACTCACACAGGGGAGAAACCATTTAAATGTAAGGAGTGTGGAAAGGGCTTCATCAATGTTAGAAATGCTAGAAGACATCAACGGACTCACACAGGGGAGAAACCATTTAAATGTAAGGAGAGTTGAAAGAGTTTCTTTCAGAGTGGAACCCTAATTTCACACACAGGAAACTTAGACGACATCAACAGACTCACTCGGAGACAAGCAAATAAATGTATGGAGTGTGGAAAGAGCGTCAATAGAAGTGGAAACCTTAGCAAACATCAGCGAACTCAAAAAGGGAAAACCACTTACGTATATGGAGTGTACATAGAGCTTCAGTCCTGATGTTCTTAGAAACCATCAATGGACTCGCAAGGAGTAAAAGCTTTAAGAGTTGAAACCCTACAATCCACAAACTGAAAAATCTAAAATGGTTTGAATGGAAGGAGTGTGGTGCTGGGATGGATGTTGGGATGTTTTTGCCTCTACGCATGGGTCTGGGAATGTTCTGATCAGTTCACATTGAGTTCAGTACCCTGACCTGTTCTTAACGCATTGTTGACCATATCTACGGAACGCGATTGTTATGTTCTTTCATGTCATGCAAAATCAATCATTAGTAATAGTTTAAGTCTTGATACTCAATCACTAGTTAATAGTTTAATAAGGTTTCACGCCTGTCCAATTCTGTGTTCCCTTTCCCACCCTTTAATCTATTGATGATTAATACCTATATTCAACCTTTGCATTGTATTCATGTGAACCAATCAGCAACAAGCACATATGTAATGCTGTAATATTCAATAAAAGGGACCCTCCGAGACTTGCTCGAGAGATGCCTCCCGTATGACACCTTGCCATTCGTCTTTTGCTTATTTCAACCCAACAGTGTGGGAAGTGTTTCAATTGCTTTATATATAGATAATTTTATTAATACAGTGGTACCTCGGGTTACATACGCTTCAGGTTACAGACTCTGCTAACCCAGAAATAGTGCTTCAGGTTAAGAACTTTGCTTCAGGATGAGAACAGAAACCGTGCTCCAGCGGCGGAGCAGCAGCAGGAGGCCCCATTAGCTAAAGTGGTGCTTCAGGTTAAGAACGGACCTCCGGAACGAATTAAGTACTTAACCTGAGGCACCACTGTATATAATTTTATTTACAAATTGCGTTCAAAAATGGAAGCATTCACCTCTGGGTTCTTGGCGTTTGAAAGCCCCAAACGTTCAACTTCCGAAGCGTTCTACAACCGAGATTCCACTGAGAATCCAGCAATAGTGTGTTGTCCAACGATATCCATTCTTTTAACCAACACAAAGAGGCTGCCTCGTAGTAGAAAATCTAGCAGTGTGAAGCCACCTCTATTTTTAGTATCTATCGAAATTTTATAGTTTATTCTTGGTGTTTTCCCCCTGCCAGAGTAATCATGAAATATCTCTTTGTCATTCGTTAAAGAAGCTTGTATTATTTATTATTGGTATCATTTAGAATAAAAACAGTATCTTAGGTAAAACATTTCTCTTTATGGTTGAAATCCTTCGTAAAAGTGAAAGTTTCATCCTCCCCTATATTTCCAAATGTTTTTAACATTTTTTGATACTCTAACGTAATTGGAATATGTTGTAATTCAGTGTTTTTCAAATAAACCCTTATTTAGTCTCCATCTATACAATGAACTCTTTTCACCCCTCATTATCATCCATGTTGAATTTTGATCTGATATAGTTCTTGGCTGGATCTCTAGTCTTTAATCCTGTAGGCAGTTCCTTCAATATCCAGATCATGTTTCTTCTTCCCACAGAATCCTTTGAATCAGAAGAACATGTTTACTCTTGTTCTAATGGGTGTCTGAATCTCCAAGCATCTGGGTTGGGAAACTAAGGGCCGTGGGCCGGATCAGGCGCAATTGCCTTCTAGATCTGGCCTGCGGATGGTCCAGGAATCGCCGCATGGATTGCCAGCACGCACGTTCTTTCCCTCTCCCTCACCTGGCGGCGCTTTTCTCCTCAGGGACGAGCAATCTTGTCCCACTCTGGGCGCCATCAACAGGGGGAGTCGGCTCACCCGCCTGCCTGCCTCAGAAGGGTGGCGCTGGGAAGGGGAAGACTCTGGCTGCCGGCTGCTGCTGAGTTTTCCTCTTGCTCCTCCTCCCTCTCCCTCAGTCCGCCCTTCCTTCCTTTTCTGTGCCCCTTCTCCGTGCCGCTTCCTCACGCGCTTTCTTCGTCACCCCCTCCCTCCTTCATTCCTCCCATGGCGTTCAGGAGGTTTGTTGCAGCGGCCGCAGCTGCCGCTTGCGGGTTGGGAAGCAGCAGCAGGTGGTGGGTAAAAGCTCCAGCAATGCCCCGGTTCCCCTGCCTCCGTTCGCAGCTCCGCCAGGGGCTGCTGCTTCTGTCTTCACCGGCCAACGCAGCCTCATGCCCTGCCCTGGCACCTGGCTGGAGAAGCCCAACTGGGGCTATTGGGACGACAACTGGGACAGGTAAAGCCAAGCATCTTCAGGCCTCTTTGCAGACAGGCCAAAATCGCTCATTTCCCCCCAAAATATAGTCCGGCCCCCAACAAGGTCTGAGGGACAGTGGACTGGCCCCTGCTGAAAAATCTGCTGACCCCTGATCTAGTAGATCCATTGTTGTAACCATATCAAAAAAGTATTTGGTATTTTGCCTTCTTCTGAGACACTTTCCCTCAGTGTTCTGTCATAGTCCTGTGATACTACTCCATTAAATTCACCCGTAATATTTATATTTCTGTCATAAACCTCAGACATACTTTCCTCCAGTAGTTGGAAGAAATCTCATGCAAAAAGTGGCTCTGAATCTGAAAGTCCCAGTCCCAAATCTTAATCCTGCCACCCTAAGATATTATAAGCAGGCCCCACATTCCTCTTTCCACCTGCAATAGGGAGGTTAGAACAACATTTAATACCCTGCAGGGATCATAAGAGCCAGAATTGCTTTTCATTCACAAACGCTGTGTGAAATATCACTAGTGAACAGAATAATTCAAACAAGGAAACCAACAACAGTATTAAAATTGCAGGGAGAGAGAGAAAAACTGGATTTGAAATGACCAAACCACAAGATGAGAAGTCTTGCACTCATTTTACCGGGGGAATCCAGGGGGTGGTGTTTCAATGGGGGAGGAGAGGGGCTGGTGTTTGAAGCTGGGCTGGGCTGTTAGGGGGCGAAGCTCAGCAATGCAGCCGTTGCTCTGCATGCAGAAGGACCCCGGCTGAGTGCTTGGCATGCAGAAGGAGGCCCAGAAGGAGACCCTCCCCCTGCCTCCACTTGCCCAGTTGGGGGGGGCGGGGGCCGGGTCCCCATGGAGCCCCCAGAGCAGGAGGCCAGAGGCAGCGCCGCCCCGTCTCCTTCCCCTCCGGACACAGGGAGGGGCTGCTCTTGCAGACGTAGCTCTAGGGGCAAGCGCGTCGGAAAAGGAGCCGGAAATGGCGCTGGGAAATGCGCCGGAAGTGGCCAGACAGGGAAAGGAGGAGGAGGGGCGTCGCTGAAGAGGGGCGTCGCTGAAGAGCCCCCCCTCCCCCTGTCGCCGCCGCCCTTTCTTTGCGCATAAGGAAAGCGGACTAATCCGGAGCCAGGGAGGCGGAGGACCAAGAGGTAAAGAGAGAGAGAAGGGGGGGGAAATAGAGGGGGGGAATAGAGGGGAGGGAGGACAAAGAGACCCCCCCCCGAAGGAAAGCGCCCTCCCTGGGGCCCGTCGACAGGGGCCCCGATCCAGGGGGGACCCAACACCTGCAGGGATCTACACCTTGCAAGATCTCCTGGGCAGCAGCAGCACCGCCAGACTCCCCTTTCTCTTTCCTGGGGGGCCGAGAGATGCTCAGCTGCCCTGGCGGGAAGGGGAATGAGGACCCCAAGCAGGGCTGGGGGTGGGGCTGAGGCCCCCCATTCTCCCTGGGGTCGTGGGGCGCCTGGCTGGGGAAAGGGAGAGAGGGAGTCCAGGGAAGGGTTAAAGGAAGGGGAGGAGCCTCGACAGAGACCCCTCCCCTTCCATCACATCTTATTCCCCAGTCTCCCTAATGACACTACCAGGTTATCTGCATTCACTAGGACTCATCTCCATACTTTGGATTATCCTGAATATACCACCAATTATAGCCTAGCGCAAACCCAAAAGTCCTGCTAGGATGCATCTTGGCTTCCCTGCTGATGAAACTGAGTGTGTGAGGATTGATAATATTTTCATTTATCCGTTTTAGACCCCTAAGTAGTAGCAGCTGCCAGGACATTGTCCTGTTCGCCTCTGTATACTTCCAGCCTTAGTTCAGATGTTGTGGTAGATTGCAATCAGGGTGGGTTTGATATAAATCAAATTGATTTCAATCACAATTTACAGTAAATCACTAGTCAGTATGATTCTATTTAAATCCAAAAATTTCTTATTTGGTTACACTGTTAGAAATACATAGATAATTATGAAATCATTCTGAGGTTTAATAAGTTTACTGTCTATATTTGGACAACAGTTCTGCTGTAATTTATTGGAAGGAGAAAAAATAATCATTTCCTTAATAACAACTTAAACAATTTATTTAACTAAAACAATATATTATAGCATGTTGGTAAAAATATTTTTTTAAATATAAAAAACAACAACCAAGCAGACTGAGTTTTAGCGCACATGAAAAACTCGGAACTTAAGCATTTCACCACCTCCACTACCAGCCCCCCCTTTGGATTGGCTTCTGCATCCAGGTGCCTATTCTGTACAGTTAAGTGTTAGTGAAGTTGTTGGAACCCAATGGGATTGGGAAGAGGTTGCCAGCCCTGAAGAGCCTTCAGCGCTTGCCTTTTCCTCTAAAAGCATTTTATTTTTTAAAAAATTCTGATTAAAATTAAAAAAAATCCGTTTTTTATTTTTTTAAAAAAAATCATTGATTGTATCCACCCTGATTGCAATCTTTAGCTGCTGATAACATGGCAACGTTTAGCAGGTCATATTGTAAGGTTTAGCTGGTGAGAACACTGCAATGGTTAGCTGACGAGTTATCACGATATTGAAAATCAGATATTTCATAGTCCTTATACACATTGGATTTGCGATATAATGTCAGCTCAAATATTAGGAAACAGTTAGCACATTAACATCAAGCCCAGCTCTAATTATGACCTAAATTTCTAGCCCAGTGTATCATTGAAGATTTTACTAGTTTTATTTTGTTTCCCATTCTAATAGTATCTCATACATTTTGGAAAGTTTTTTTTAAAAAAATTGTTCAGTGGTACCTAAGAGACCAACTAAGTTTGTTCTGGGGATAAGCTTTTGTGTGCATGCACACTTCTTCAGATTGGACAATTTTCTACCTGAAATTTGGGAAACACTTTCTCTTTCCTCGCAATAATACCTCTTTCAAACTGTGAACTTTCAGTCAAAAAACCTCTCCCTTTATCTTGTCCAAACAAGATGATTTGATGGGATTGAAACCAATCCGCCACCACACCTCCCACCTCATCCTGTTTATTCAGTTTTATTTCTTCTTCCGAAAAGTCCAAAAGATCTCTGTAAGTTGCCCATTGCTTCTTCCTTATTGCATTTTTTAAAAAGCTGTTGCTTTTGTGGGTTGGAGCCAAAGAGGTGGTTTTCTTTCCAGCAGATTATTATATTTATCCCATACTGTAAGAAGGATTTTCTGAATAACCTGATTCATAGAGCTCTTGTGTGTTTTAGTTTTATCCTGCCATAAATAAGCGTGCCAACCAAACATAGTCTTACGACCTTCGTTATAAGGAAAACCTGCTCCTTTCCCCTTATGGGGTATCCAAGAGCCCATATAGTCCTTAAGCGGGTTCCATATCGGTAGGAGAAAATAACAGAGGCCAAGCAGAGTATATGGAGAAGCAAAGCGGCTAGTAAGCCTGATCTTTATTACCCTATTGCAACAGTGTCCCCCCCCTCACCACAACCAGGAGGGAGGTGTGCAAGGCCTTATATAGTCTTTTCAAATTGCCCCCCCAAGACCATCCCCCCGTAAAAATCGTACAGAAGGAGACTTTCTACAGCAGGAATACATCACAGGAGGCGGTCTACAGCAGAAAACCTGTCCCCAAGGATACCTGTTAATGGTCACTAACTGCATTACCTGGGCAGCCTGGCCATTCTTTTGTGATGGCAAATACTTTAGTTCCTGAATCCAGGTCACAGGCCCACCCTGTTCATCCCTCCTTAAGGCAGTATTTGTAAGCACAAAGACAATGGGAAGGCTTCCATTTGCCTCCCTTGCTGCAGAGGAATATTTGAGTACGTTTCTGAGCACAATTCGAAGGAGCGTCTCCACCCCCATTGTTCTGCCCGGACACTGAGGTCCAGCTCCAAGGGCCTTCTGGCGGTTCCCTCCCTGCGAGAAGTGAGGTTACAGGGGACCAGACAGAGGGCCTTCTGGGTAGAATCGCTTCTCCCCGTTGCCGCCCCTTGGTTCAAAAGGGGTCCTGGGAGAGAGGGGAAGGCAATGGAGATTGTGGGGCTGGCAACGGGGAGAAGCGATCTTCTCCCCGCCGCCCCTTGCTTCAAAAGAGGTCCGGGGACAGCGGGGAAGACGCTCTGCACTTCCCCGCTATCCCCGGAGCTTGCGGGGCAAGCTTCGTTTTGCGAAGCAAGCCCATAGGGAAATGCATCTTGCGAAGCGGCTAAGAAAACGAAAAACTCCTTCGTCTAGCGAGTTTTTCGTCTTCCGAGGCGTTCGTCTTGCGGGGTACCACTGTATTCTAGAAAAAAGTGTAGCTAAGATTCTGAGTTACAGTCGTGGCTGAGAAATACAGCCAGGGAATATGATACTGATTTGAAGATTGATTTCTTCTTTACACATTCTTGTTGTTGTTATTGTTATTGTTGTTATTATTATTATTACTATTATATTACATTCAGGTGGGCACACCACTGGTTTCATCTTCTTTCTATTCTTTTCCACACTCAGTGTTATTCACCTTTAATACTCACCTTTTTCAGTGACATACATATTTTTATCTTCTGATCTTCAGATGAAGAGAGGTATAACAATTTAATAAATAATTCCCAGTTGGAGCAGAGCTAGAATATCCAGAAGCCCTTGGCCACCCAGGGCAAAGGAGGAAGAACAGTGAGAGAGGCCTGGACAGGGAATCTCCGCTAAGAAAAGCCAGTGTCAGGAGGCAGGTGCGAGACCCGGTGGCATATAATTATTATACCGTATTTTTCGCTCTATAACACGCACCAGATCATAACACGCACGTAGTTTTTAGAGGAGGAAAACAAGAAGAAGAAAAAATCTAAACGAAACAGTGGATGTATGATTTTTGTGGTTCATGCTGTGGCCACAGACATGTGATCTGACAGTGAGTTTGGAGTAGCCCAATGCAAAATCCTGAGGATCCATGTGGATCCATGCTTTGTAACCATGTTTTTGCACCACTGCGGCCCCAGGCAACAGTGGGTGTGTGATTTTTTGGTGCAGGCTGTAGCCATGGACATGCTATGTGATCTGATGGTGAATTTGGGGTGACCCAATGCAAAGATCCTGAGGATCCATGTGGATCCGTGCTTTGTAACCACGTTTTAAGTGGGGAGGGAAGGAAAAGCACTCAAGGGACAAGGAGCACGCGTGGGGTGGGTAGAGAAGGATGCTGCTAATAATGCAAAAGAGGGGTTTAAGGGGAGAAGAAGCACGCGTGGGGTGGGTGGAGAAGGATGCTGCTAATAATGAAGAAGAGGGGTATAAGGGAAGAAGGCTCCTCTCCTCTCCCGCTTTGCTCCCTTAAAGCAAGCAGGCTCTCTGTCCCTCTCTCCTCCCCACTCAGCGGCTCTTCTCCCGCTTTGCTGTTTCAAAGCGAGCCACAGAGGAGGGAAGGAACGGGAACCATGGATCCTCTGCTCACGACTGCAGCAGATCCCCCCCCCCGCCACCCGTAGGCATTCCCTCCATAACACGCACAGACATTTCCCCTTACATTCTGGGAGGAAAAAAGTGAGTGTTATGGTGCAAAAAATACGGTAAATCATAATTGGGGTGGGTGTCTCAATCTGGCCTTCCCAGCAGTCAGGTTCCAGCTGCTTTCCTTCTGCATCTCCAGCTCTCTCCATTCAAGAATGCAAGGCTGAGAGATGGAGGTCCAACCCCAAGAACATTCTCCCACTGAGCACTCCTTCAACCGACCACAAGCACCAAGCCTTGTCACTAGACTTATATATGGGTCTCCCAAAATGGTCAGTATGGACCTCCTGAGTTCAAAAGAACTGTGCAGGTGATTAATAAACATCTATTTTTTTTAATAAATAAGAAGTAAATAAATAAATAAATAAGAAGTAAGAAGTAGCTGCAGCTGCAGCTTCGCTGAGAACGGAAGCACAGAAGCCTGCATTTTTATCGAAATCCCCCTGAAATTTCAAACCTGAACGCCATTCCAGGAACAATGCCTGCTTTCCAGAAGTTTATGTTAGATTAGTGTCCCCCGCCCCCTTTAGGACTTGCTTGCCTGAAGGAGTTACCTTCCCCATCCATCTCACCAACCCTCTTCATCAGAGTCTGTCCGGGTCCTCTTCTTCATTGCCTAAACGAGGGGTAGCCAATGTGGTGGCCTTCAGATATCATTGGACTACAGCTCCCATCATCCCTCTTCTTTGGCCATGCTGACTGGGGCTGAGGTGAAGTGGATTCCAGTGACATTTAGAGGCACCGCATGGACTATCCTTGGCCTAAAGCATCTTTCTGCTGGTGGGTTTGTCAGTGGTGGCTTCCATGTGCTCAGAACATTCCACAGGTTGACTATCTGCTGTAGGAGAGAAACGAAAAAAATACTTCAACCATGATTCCACAGAGGCTCACGCACAGACAGCCAATATTTTCCCCACTACCACAGTACACTTGGTCCTGAGTGCCTTAACTGAGATTCCTACATTGCAGGGACTAGGTAACTGTTGAGGGTCCCTTCCAATCTACAGTTCTATGATTCTATGACTTTTTCAGTGCACACTCCACCATGACTCAAAGATCTGTTTCTTTGGGTGTAGTCACAACCAGCTTAGACCCTGTGAACATACATGTGGAGCTAGGTACGTGAGACGAGCCCTCCAGAACAGATAAGTGGCCCATCTGGTCCAGCAGCCTGTTATCACAGTGGCCAAACAGCTGCGTATGGGAAGCCTGTAAGCGGGAGCCAGACATCAGAGCACTCTCTCCTCCTGTGGTTTCCAAAAACTGATATTCAGAGGAGTGGTGGCTCTCACAGCCGAGGTCGAACACAGCCGCCATCATTGGTAGCTGTTGATCCTCCATGAATTTGTCTAATCCAGCCTTTCTCAGCCTGTGGGTCCCCAGATGTTGTTGGACTACAACTCCCACCACCCCTAGCTAGCAAGGCCAGAGCTCAGGGGTGATGGGAGTTGTAGTCCGGCGGCATCTGGGGACCCACAGGTTGAGGGAGTTCCACTGTTTAACCATGTGCTGTGCTTTATATTGCCGTCCTGAATAACAACAACAACAACAACAACAACAACAACAACTTTTATTTATATCCCTCCCTCCCCAGCCGAAGCCGGGCTCAGGGCGGCTAACAACAATAAAATAGTACAACGTTCTAAAATCATTTCATTATAAAATTAATTCAACTCAAATTTATGGCAACCATTAGGCTAAAATTCTGTGTAGATTGCCAAAGGAGTGAGTCAGGCTGTGCCCTGACTAAAGGCCTGGTGGAACAGCTCTGTTTTGCAGGACCTGCGGAAAGATGTCAAGTCCCGCAGGGCCCTAGTCTCTTGTGACAGAGCGATCCACCAGATTGGAGCCACAGCCGAAAAAGCCCTGGCTCTAGTTGAGGCCAGCCTAACCTCCCTGTGGCCTGGGACCTTCAAGATGTTTTTGTTTGATGACCGTAAGTTTTGTTTTGAAGACCTGGGACGCAGGTGGCGCTGTGGGTAAAAGCCTCAGCGCCTAGGGCTTGCCGATCGAAAGGTCGGCGGTTCGAATCCCCGTGGCGGGGTGCGCTCCCGTCGTTCGGTCCCAGCGCCTGCCAACCTAGCAGTTCGAAAGCACCTCCGGGTGCAAGTAGATAAATAGGGACCGCTTACCAGCGGGAAGGTAAACGGCGTTTCCGTGTGCGGCTCTGGTTCGCCAGAGCAGCGATGTCACGCTGGCCACGTGACCCGGAAGTGTCTTCGGACAGCGCTGGCCCACGGCCTCTTGAGTGAGATGGGCGCACAACCCTAGAGTCTGGCAAGACTGGCCCGTACAGGCAGGGGTACCTTTACCTTTACCTTTATTTTTTTTAATAAAATTTTTATTGCAAGTTTCAGACAAGAAAAAGTCACCAAACATATACAATACCTTCACCAAAGAAAAACAAACAGCAAAAAACATAAGTAGACAGAAACATAAAAATAAAATAAAGAAAATCACAACTGTTCATAACAAATTTTTTCATAACTAACGACTTCCTCACGTCTCCCTTCCCTGCATTCTTAATACTAAAGTTATAAACAGCAATTTATTACCTTATTTCAATTCTTATTTTGTACTTCTCCAATATTATGTATCCAATTTCAAATAATTTTTATCAAATACTAGTCTGCAATCTTTTAAACATAATATTACTTCAAATTTCATCTTCTTCTTAAATATCACTTAGTCTCATATATCTTTCAACTAAGTTGCTGATACCATGTTATTTTCAATCGTGCAATTTCTTAACATTCATACAATTTATATTGTTTTTGTAAGTAGTCCTTATACTTTTTCCAGTCCTCTTCCATTGTGTCCTCTCCCAAGTCTCGGATTCTGCCAGTCATTTCGGCCAGCTCCATATAGTCTATAAGTTGCGTCTGCCATTCTTCCAGTGTGGGCAAATCTTGTGTCTTCCAGTATTTTGAGTCCAATTTAAAAACCTCTTGGATGAGTATTCTTGCTGCTGTTGCTGCGTACATGAAAAAAGTTATGTCCTTCTTTAACACTTTCTGGCCAACAATGCCCAAGAGGAAGGCCTCTGGTTTCTTGGGGAAGGTATACCTAAATACCTTTTTTAACTCATTATAGATCATCTCCCAGAAGGCCTTCACTCTCGGACAAGTCCACCAGAGGTGAAAGAATGTTCCTTCAGTCTCCTTACATTTCCAACATTTATTATCATGCAGATGGTATATTTTTGCAAGCTTGACTGGGGTCATGTACCACCTATATATCATTTTCATAATATTTTCTTTCAAGGCATTACATGCCGTGAACTTCACGCCGGTGGTCCATAACCGTTCCCAGTCAGCAAACATAATATTGTACCCAATGTCCTGAGCCCATTTTATCATGGCTGATTTAACTGTTTCATCTTGAGTGTTCCATTTTAACAGCAAGTTATACATTTTTGAAAGTACCTTAGTCTTAGATTCTAACAATTCTGTTTCTAGTTTCGATTTTTCCACCTGGAACCCTATCTTTTTGTCCAAATTAAAAATTCTCCTTAATCTGAGCGTAATGTAACCAATCTCGCACTTTGTCCTTTATTTTCTCCAAACTCTGCAACCTCCAAGTGTCTCCAACCATTTCTATTATTTCCCAATACTTCGGCCATACGGCCTCCATATTGAGTCTTTTTCGAGCCTTAGCTTCCATTGGTGATAACCACCTTGGGGTCTTATTTTCTAGTAAGTCTTTGTATTTCATCCAGACATTGAATATTGCTTTCCTGACAATATGGTTCTTGAAAGCTTTGTGAACCTTTACCTTGTCGTACCACAAGTAAGCATGCCACCCAAAAGCATTATTAAACCCTTCCAGATCCAGGACATCAGTGTTCTCAATAAGTAGCCAATCTTTCATCCAGCAGAAAGTTGCAGCTTCATAGTATAACCTTAAGTCCGGCAGGGCAACCCCCCCCCTCTTTCCTTTGCATCAGTTAATATTTTAAATTTTATTCTGGGCTTTTTGCCCTGCCAGACAAATTTAGAAATATCTCTGCCACTTTCCAAAGCATTCCACTCTGTCCACAATCTGTAGGGTCTGAAACAGAAACAACATCTTTGGCAACACATTCATCTTAATAGCAGCAATTCGGCCCAACAAGGAAAGCTTCAATCTTGACCAAATTTCTAAATCTTTTTTAATTTCTGACCAACACTTTTCATAATTGTCCTTAAATAAATTCAAATTTTTGGCAGTCAAGTTAACCCCTAGATATTTCACCTTTTTAACCACATTTAAATCTGTCTCTCTCTGAAACCTTTCTGATTCCACAGGTGTCAATTTTCCCCCCAAAACCTTAGTTTTTTGCTTATTTAATATAAATCCCGCCACCCGACCAAACTCATGAATCAATTCTAAAACTCTTTTCGTACTAGATTCTGGCTCCTGTAATGTTAAAACCAGATCATCTGCAACAGGTGATTAATAAAGATCTAGAGGTCGAAGGGGACAAAATGTGGCCCAAGGGGTGGAGGATTATAGTGCAGCGGATGAAGAACTTCATGATGAATTTAGGATCCTGATTCATATTGGCCAGGTTCATGGAACATAGAGGAGCTCCCTTTCCTATGAGAAACCACTTTTTTATAAAACGTAAACCCCACAGTTCAACCGTATTCTAGGATAATGCTGCTTCATTAATGCTTAATTAAGGGTTAGGAAAGGCTGATGATGCATTACCATTATTTAACATTATTTCATCTGTCTTTCCTAAAAACTTGGAACATATGGAGGGCAGGAAAGAATGTACGAGACGTCAAAATAAGAGCAGGTGCTAATTGATGTGTGTAATATTCCTTTGTTCTCTTCCTAGGTTTCCTTTCCCCCCGCTCCTCCCTGTTGAAAGAAGACAATGGAGAAGGCAGTCAAAATTCTGGAGGGCCATGTCCAATGGGAATAACAAAGAAACCATATAAATTCATGGAATGTGAAAAGAGATAGGAGAAACAATTTGAAAGTATGGAGTGTGGGAAGAGTTTCACTGACAGTGGAACACTTGGAAAACATCAACGGACTCACACAGGAGAGAAACCATTTAAATGCATGGAGTGTGGAAAAAGCTTTGGTTGGAGTTCAAACCTTCGTATACATAAACACACGCACACGGGGGAGAAACCATATAAATGTAAGGAGTGTGGAAAGAGCTTCAGTCAGATTGGACACCTTAGAAACCATCAACGAACCCACACAGGGGAAAAACCTTATAAATGTATGGAGTGTGGAAAGAGCTTCACCGATAGTGGAACATTTAGAAAACATCAACGGACTCACGCAGGAGAGAAACAATTCAAATGCATGGAATGTGGAAAGAGCTTCAGTCAGAGTCGAAACCTTAGAATCCATCAACGGATTCACACAGGGGAGAAACCATTTGAATGTTTGGAGTGTGGAAAGAGTTTCAGTACAAAGAGAGGACTGAATATTCATCATAAAACTCACACTGGAGAAAAACCATTTGAATGTATGCTGTGTGATAAGAGCTTCACTGAGAGTAGAAAACTTAGAATCCATCATCGAACTCACACAGGGGAAAAACCATATAAATGTAAGGAGTGTGGAAAGAGATTCAGTCAGACTGGACACCTTAGAAACCATCAACGAACCCACACAGGGGAAAAACCTTATGAATGTATGGAGTGTGGAAGGAGCTTTACCGATAGTGGAACATTTAGAAAACATCAACGGACTCACACAGGGGAGAAACCATTTGAATGCATGGAATGTGGAAAGAGCTTTATTGATGGTACAGCACTTAGAATCCATCAACGGACTCACACAGGGGAAAAACCATTTGAATGTATGGAATGTGGAAAGAGCTTCACTTCTAATGGAGCAGTAAAAAGACATCAATGGACTCACTCAGGGGAAAAACCATTAAAATGCATGGAATGTGGAAAGAGTTTTATTGAGAGAAGAGACCTGAGAACCCATCATCGAACTCACACTGGGGAGAAACCATTTAAATGTAAGGAGTGTGGAAAGAGCTTCAATCGCAGTGGAACACTTAGAAAACATCAATGGACTCACACAGTGGAGAAACCATTTAAATGCATGGAATGTGGAAAGAGCTTTATTGATGGTACAGCACTTAGTATCCATCATCAAACTCACACAGGGGAGAAACCATTTAAATGTAAGGAGTGTGGAAAGGGCTTCACCAATGTTGGAAATGTTAGAAGACATCAACGGACTCACACAGGGGAGAAACCATTTAAATGCATGGAATGTGGAAAGAGCTTTATTGATGGTACAGCACTTAGTATCCATCATCAAACTCACACAGGGGAGAAACCATTTAAATGTAAGGAGTGTGGAAAGGGCTTCACCAATCTTGGAAATGTTAGAAGACATCAACGGACTCACACAGGGGAGAAACCATTTAAATGCATGGAATGTGGAAAGAGCTTTATTGATGGTACAGCACTTAGTATCCATCATCAAACTCACACAGGGGAGAAACCATTTAAATGTAAGGAGTGTGGAAAGTGCTTCACCAATGTTGGAAGTGTTAGAAGACATCAACGGACTCACACGGGAGAAACCATTTAAATGTATGCAGAGTTGAAAGAGTTTCTTTCAGAGTGGAACCCTAATTTCACACACAGGAAACTTAGACTACATCAACAGACTCACTCGGGGACTAGCAAATAAATGTATGGAGTGTGGAAAGAGAGTCAATAAAAGTCGAAACCTTAGCAAACAGCGAACTCAAAAAGGGAAAACCACTTACGTATATGGAGCATACATAGAGCTTCAGTCCTGATGTTATTAGAAACCATCAACGTACTCGCAAGGAGAAAAAGCTTTAAGAGTTGAAACCCTACAATCCACAAACTCAAAAATCTTAAATGGTTTGAATGGAAGGAGTGTGGGAAGTGTTTCAATTGCTTTATATATAGATAATTTTATTAATACAGTGGTACCTCGCGTTACATACGCTTCAGGTTACAGACTCTGCTAACCCAGAAATAGTGCTTCAGGTTAAGAACTTTGCCTCTGGATGAGAACAGAAACCGTGCTCCGGCGGCGGAGCAGCAGCAGGAGGCCCCATTAGCTAAAGTGGTGCTTCAGGTTAAGAACGGACCTCCAGAACGAATTAAGTACTTAAGTACCAAACGTTCAACTTCCGAAGCGTTCTACAACCGAGATTCCACTGAGAATCCAGCAATAGTGTGTTGTCCAACGATATCCATTCTTTTAACCAACACGAAGAGGCTGCCTCGTAGTAGAAAATCTAGCAGTGCGAAGCCACCTCTATTTTTAGTATCTATCGAAATTTTATAGTTAATTCTTGGTGTTTTTCCCCTGCCAGAGTAATCATGAAATATCTCTTTGCCATTCGTTAAAGAAGCTTGTATTATTTATTATTGGTATCATTTAGAATAAAAACAGTATCTTAGGTAAAACATTTCTCTTTATGGTTGAAATCCTTCGTAAAAGTGAAAGTTTCATCCTCCCCTATATTTCCAAATGTTTTTAACATTTATGTTGTAATTCAGTGTTTTTCAAATAAACCCTTATTTAGTCTCCATCTATACAATGAACTCTTTTCACCCCTCATTATCATCCATTTTGAGTTTTGATCTGATATAGTTCTTGGCTGGATCTCTACAGTCTTTAATCCTGTAGGCAGTTCCTTCAATATCCAGATCATGTTTCTTCTTCCCGCAGAATTCTTTGAATCAGAAGAACATGTTTACTCTTGTTCTAATGGGGGTCTGAATCTCCAAGCATCTGGGTTGGCAAAGTAAGGCCTGTGGGCCGGATCAGGCGCAATTGCCTTCTAGATCCGGCCTGCGGACGGTCCAGGAATCGCCGCGTGGATTGCCAGCACGCACGTTCTTTCCCTCTCCCTCACACGGCGGCGCTCTTTTCCTCAGGGACGAGCAATCTTGTCCCACACCGGGTGCCATCAACGGGGGGAGTCGGCTCACCCGCCTGCCTGCCTCAGAAGGGTGGCGCTGGGAAGGGGGTGTGACGCTGGCTGCCGGCTGCTGCTGCGTTTTCCTCTTGCTCCTCCTCCCTCTCCCTCAGTCCGCCCTTCCTTCCTTTTCTGTGCCCCTTCTCCGTGCCGCTTCCTCACGCGCTTTCTTCGTCACCCCCTCCCTCCTTCATTCCTCCCATGGCGTTCAGGCGGTTTGTTGCAGCGGCCGCAGCTGCCGCTTGCGGGTTGGGAAGCAGCAGCAGGTGGTGAGTAAAAGCTCCAGCAACGCCCCAGTTTCCCTGCCTCCGTCCGTGGCTCCGCCGGGGCTGCTGCTTCTGTCTTCACCGGCCAAGGCAGCCTCATGCCCTGCCCTGGCACCTGGCTGGAGAAGCCCAACTGGGGCTATTGGGACGACAACTGGGACAGGTAAAGCCAAACATCTTCAGGCCTCTTTGCAGGCGGGCCAAAATCGCTCATTTCCCCCCAAAATATAGTCCGGCCCCCAACAAGGTCTAAGGACAGTGGACTGGCCCCCTGCTGAAAAAGTCTGCTGACCCCTGATCTAGTAGATCCATTGTTGTAACCATATCAAAAAAGTATTTGGTATTTTGCCTTCTTTTGAGACACTTTCCCTTAGTGTTTTGTCATAGTCCAGTGATACTACTCCATTTTTTTCCCGTGAAGAATTTATTTTCTGTATATTTGTGTGTATATGTGTGTATGAAAATTAATAAAGAGAAATTAAAAAAAATAAATTCAACCGTAATAATTATATTTCTGTCATAAACCTCAGACATACTTTCCTCCAGTAGTTGGAAGAAATCTCATGCAAAAAGTGGCTCTGAATCTGAAAGTCCCAGTCCCAAATCTTAATCCTGCCACCCTAAGATATTATAAGCAAGCCCCACATTCCTCTTTCCACCTGCAATAGGGAGGTTAGAACAACATTTAATATCCTGCAGGGATCGTAAGACCCACAATTGCTTAAAATTGCAGGGAGAGAGAGAGAAAAAGTGGATTTGAAATGACCCAACCACAAGATGAAAAGTCTCCCTACTGAATGGGGGAAGGGGGAGGCATGGGGGGGGGGCTTTTGAAGTCTCCCTGCTGGCAAGGGAATTCTAGAGCAAGGGCGCCTCTGTCTGTCTGGAGTCCCTCACTGCCTCATCTCCAGCAGGAAGGGAGGATTTCCAGACTGGGACCCTTCACTCTTAGGGGGAGGTGCTGGGGCCTGGGGAGCTGGATGGATGGACATCAGCCTGCAGAAATGCTCCCCCCTTCCTTTCACAGGACTGTTGTGGTGTTGCATGTGAGTGACAAGGCAACACTCAAGAACACCTCTCAATCCAGTACTGCACTCATTTTACCGGGGGAATCCAGTGGGTGGTGTTTCAATGGGGGGGGGAGAGGGGCTGGTGTTTGAAGCTGGGCTGGGCTGTTAGGGGGCGAAGCTCAGCAATGCAGCCGTTGCTCTGCATGCAGAAGGACCCCGGCTGAGTGCTTGGCATGCAGAAGGAGGCCCAGAAGGAGACCCTCCCCCTGCCTCAACTTGCCCAGCTTCCCCCCCTCCCTGCCGCCAGTTGGGGGGCGGGGGCCGGGTCCCCATGGAGCCCCCAGAGCAGGAGGCCAGAGGCAGCGCCGCCCCGTCTCCTTCCCCTCCGGACACAGGGAGGGGCTGCTCTTGGAGATGTAGCTCTAGGGGCAAGCGCGTCGGAAAAGGAGCCGGAAGTGGCGCCGCGAAATGCGCCGGAAGTTTCCAGCCGGAAAAGGAGGAGGGGCGTCGCTGAAGAGCCCCCGTCGCCCTTTCTTTGCGCATAAGGAAAGCGGACTAATCCGGAGCCAGGGAGGCGGAGGACCAAGAGGTAAAGAGGGAGGAGAGAAGGGGGGGAATAGAGGGGGGATAAGGGGGGAGGACAAAGAGACCCCTCCGTAAGGAAAGCGCCCTCCCTGGGGCCCGTCGACAGGGGCCCCGACCCAGGGGGGAAGGGGGGACCCAAGACCTGCAGGGATCTACACCTTGCAAGATCTCCTGGGCAGCAGCAGCACCGCCAGACTCCCCTTTCTCTTTCCTGGGGGCCGAGAGATGCTCAGCTGCCCTGCCCCCCCCGGACGCCTTGGCGGGAAGGGGAATGAGGACCCCAAGCAGGGCTGGGGGTGGGGCTGAGGCCCCCCATTCTCCCTGGGGTCGCCTGGCTGGGGAAAGGGAGAGAGGGAGTCCAGGGAAGGGTTAAAGGAAGGGGAGGAGCCTCGACAGAGACCCCTCCCCTTCCATCACATCTTATTCCCCAGTCTCCATGCTGGCAGTCTGGCAGTCCCAGATTATCTGTATTCACTAGGACTCATCTCCATACTTTGATTTGTCCTGAATGCCACCAATTATAGCCTAGCCCAAACCCAAAAGTCCTGCTGGGATGCATCTTGGCTTGCCTGCAGATGAAACTGAGTGTGTGATGATTGATAATATTGTCATTTATCCGTTTCAGACCCCTAAGTAGTAGCAGCTGCCAGGACATTGTCCTGTTCGCCTCTGTATAGTTCCAGCCTTATTTCAGACGTTGTGGTAGATTGCAATCAGGGTGGGTTTGATATATATCAAATTGATTTCAATCACAATTTACGGTAAATCACTAGTCAGTATGTTGTTGTTTAGTCGTTTAGTCGTGTCCGACATAGACAGATTATTATGAAATCATTCTGAGGTTTAATAAGTTAACTGTCTATATTTGGACAACATTTCTGCTGTAATTTATTGGAAGGAGAAAAATAATCATTTCCTTAATAACAACTTAAGCAATTTATTTAAGTAAAACAATAATATAGCATGTTGGTAAACATTTTTTTTAAAAAAACAACCCAGCAGACTGAGTTTTAGCGCACATGAAAAACTCAGAACTTAAGCATTTCACCACCTCCACTTCCAGCCACCCCTTGGGATTGGCTTCTGCATCCAGGTGTCTATTCTGTACAGTTAAGTGTTAGTGAAGTTGTTGGAACCCAGTGGGATTGGGAAGAGGTTGCCAGCCCTGAAGAGCCTTCAGCGCTTGCCTCAAGTCTGACTTGCACAATTATTACACAAAGACCCCAAGATGTGTGGAGTATTCTGCTCACAAGGTTGCACTTTCATTTTTACTGCTTCACACTTAGCTACTTGTGCAGATCTCTTCCACTGCAAACCATCTGTTCGTTGAACCTCTTGGAACTTAGAATTTAAGGGGTTGATTCTGTGTCTATAAATTTGCAAAGGAACAATGGGATTAAGGTTCCCCAAATATATTTTGGGGAATAAATTCACACTTTTGAGAATGGCAAAAACAAGCATCTGTGACAATATCTTCTCATTAGAAAAACTTCCCCAAATAATCTTACAGAAACCTCTGGAAGAGCATGACATTGTGAATGGATTAATGGAATTCGTTTACCAAAAAAAATAAATTTTGCATATAAAGCCTCATGCTAGATAATTAAATAATTAAATTATTTCCTGATGAATAGCCTTTGGACTATAATGTAATTAAGTATAAAACTATCTTTAGGTAGATTTTTTCCTCTAAAAGCATTTTATTTATTTTTAAAATTCAGATTAAAATAAAAAAATTCTGATTAAAATAAAAAAATTCCTTTTTTAAAAAAATCATCGATTGTATCCGCCCTGATTGCAATCTTTAGCTGCTGATAACATGGCAACGTTTAGCAGGTCATATTGTGAGGTTTAGCTGGTGAGAACACTGCAACTGTTAGCTGACGAGTTATCACGATATTTAAAATCGGATATTTCCTAGGCCTTATACACATTGGATTTGCG